CAAAAAGTCCAGAGGAGTTGAGGGGTCTTAACTTATTTATGGAGTGATTATGTTAATTTCAAAGGGAGACAAATTTAAGAACATTAAATATTTTGGGTTATAAGATATTTACAAAGTAAAAGCTTACTTTTAAATTTTATTATGGATAAATTCGGTAAATTTACTATGGGATTTGCTAGTTGTTTCTCAATGATTAGCTCTGCTTTTTTTTTTTTTTAAATAATTGATTAATTAATTTAAATTAAATTCAAGTATTGTAGTCTAAACTTGAATTGAGTAAATGATAACTGATAGGATGTTAAGATAATTATGGAAAAATAGGAAGATTAATTTGTGTTTTAGGCCTTTTGGAAGGGATCAACTATAAAATCCACTATTAATTCACAATATTTTTAATTTCAACACAAAATTTCATACATGACTAATGCTTCAGTTATTGCACCTCAACCAAAAGCAATAAGAATGGCCTAAATTGAAGCAAGTTGATTATCTATGTAAAGCTCTCATACTATGTTAATTAATCACAAAATTGAAAGCGTATATTGATAAATAAAGTCGATTTACTATTACACAATAGGGTGACCCCAAGGAGTCGGGTACGGATCCATGGACCCCAATCCCCAGCCCCGCGCCCATCCGTAAGTAACTCTACATTTCTATGTTTGCTTTTACAATTTGGACACAGAATGTATGAAAGCTAATTAAATAAAAATAAAAATCACATGGTTCAAAGAGGGAATGTTATAAAACAAGCTCCTAGGGATGTTATGTTTATCAGTGGTTTTATTAGATGTTATAAATGACATAGATACATTGGTTTGTGATATAATTAATTTGGTGCGTCCGTTGGATCGTGAGAATTTTTACTAGATGTTATACCTTCATGATATTCTAGGGTGCGTTTGGTTTAGTATTTTGGATAGGATTTTAGGGGTAGTATTGGGTTATTGGATATGGGAGTATTACGAGGTAAATTTTAAAAATTTATAAAAAAGCCCTTAGGTTTACTAATTTAACTAAAGACCCTAACATGTAAAATGACAAAAACACCCCCACCATCTGCAGTGTCAGATTCCGGCCACCACCGCCGGAATCTGGCCGGAAAATTTCGTTACGGCACAGACTTGTCGGATCTGTGCCGTAACACGTCGTTATGGCCTTTTCCGGCTAGATCCATGGTGGATCTGGCCGGAAAAGGCCAGATCTACGGTTTGTTTTGGCCGTCGACGGCCGGAAAAGGCCAAACGACGGCCATCTTTGGCCGTCAGCGACGGCCAAAGATGTGGCCGTCGTTTTCGGTCAACGACGGCCAAGATTTGGCCGTCGTTGACCGTCAACGACGGCCATTTCTTTGGCCGTCGCTGACGGCCAGATCTGGCCTTTTCCGGCCAGATCCGTGGTGGATCTGGCCGGAAAAGGCCACAGCGGTGAACTTCCGGCCATTTCTGGTCGGAAGTTTGGCCGTTGTACAGATTCCGGCTATCACCGACGGTGGTTGCCGGAATCTGACAAGTTGGGTTAATGGGGGTGTTTTTGTTAATTTTTAAACTTTTTTTTCAGGGGGTATTTAGTAAAATTAATAACCTTATGGGGTTAAAATGTAATTAAAAAAAATAGGGTAATATTTTGAGAATATTGTACCAAACGCTATTTGAAAAATAGGATCCAGAATAGGGATAAAAATATTAAACCAAACGCATACCTAAATTTTTTCGAAACAAACATAACGTTGAGCGAATAAGAATTCGTTGTGAGAATTTTTATATATTCATATCTGGGAGAAAGATAGCATCTTGATGCTTTTGTGTCCAAGAATATCTACAAATTAAGACCGAAATTAGCAAATTACAAATAAAATTATATTATTTTGTAAGTATTACATTTTTCAACATGATTTACTGAATTCATTCCTATTTGTTGAATTGAATTGTTTGTTAAAAAAAATTTCATGACACTTACGTTGCACCTCCTCCAACATGACCAACAACTTTGAAAAGTGACATTGCAGTCGTAGCAATTCCATTAGCAGCTTTCCTTTGATCCTGGTCATGTTTTTTGTACCATATTTAATCAAATCAATTTGAGACATAGACAAACATGGAAATTGTCTACGGATCAAGGATTTTTTTTTCATTAATGGTGGTAACCAAGGTTTTAAAACCCAGCCCCGAGTGAAACCTAACAAAGTGGTCGAGTCTCGGGTTGACCGATTTGATTGGCAGGTAAAACCAATGATGTCAACATGTAAAAAGGTTTGAAATCTAGTAAAAATACCCCTGAAAATTACATAAGTCCTTATAGGTTTGAAATCGTGTAAAAACACCCCAAATTACATTGTTGGCATAAGAGTTGGACCAGGCCCAGTCCCGTCCGGGCCCAAGATTGGGCCCAACGGTCTAGTCCCAAATTGGGACGGATCCCAATTTGGCAGGGATCGATCCTAGGGCCATGAGAAATCTCAAGGCCCGAATCAGTCTTAGGATCGGTCCTATGGGCTTAGAAAAATTTAAACTTTAAAGAAATAATTTAATTAATTAATTTTAACATAAACATGATATTCACACAGTCGCACTTCACAAATAAACAATTAAATAAATTTGTTTTTATTAAATTATTCATTTACATTGTCAATAGTTACATTGTTCAAATTTGTGTTCCTGAAGAGTTTGAGTAGTTCAGGATCTTCAAGGTGCTGCTGTAGTCTTTTGTCTATATGAGTCCAATCTTGTAAACATATTATGACTTCAATCATCTCATTGGTTAAAGAACATCTTTTATCTTCAACAATCAGGTCACTAATTGAGAATGTTGACTCAGATGCGATTGTTGAAACTGGCATAGATAAAATGTCACATGCCATTTGGGCTACAATGGGGAATCGACTTTGATTTTGATTCCACCATTGAAGCAGATCCATTTCACGTTTCTCCTTCGTGATGTAGGACATGTCCATTAATAGGTACCAATGTAGCTTCTTTAGTCCATGTTTGTACGACTTGGACCTGCTACTTCCACCATATTCCATATACGTCCATATGCTCGATCCTTGATAAATGTCTTCATCAGGTTCCTGCTAGTCATTTCCGCTAGACGTTCCATTGTACTTAGTTTGATATAAAGAAAAAAAGGCTTTCCATTTTTTTTTTTTTTGTTAAAGTCAATCAAATAAGAACTATAGTCATGTTCTAAATGCTGGCCTATCTCAGTAACCATACAATTAACTACGTATAATTTAAACCTAGAAACTACAATAAGGCATAATCCATATAAGAATAGAATATCTAATCAATATTTATGGTATTTTGTTTCCATTTTTGAAACAATTTCCATTAAGTCTTCATTATATCTATGTTTAGCAAAAGTTTTAGAAATTTGAAGTAAAATATCTAATGCTAAATTAGTAGTAGGATAATAAATATCACTTAATGTGTTAGTGGAATCATAAAAAAACTTTAAGAAATGAATAAAAAGTTCGCAAACTGTCCAATCATCATAGTTGAAGACTTCGTCCGAATAGTTCTTCCGGTTGATGAACTCTGTAATTTGTGTTGCGGTAGGCAAAACTTTTTCCAACATCAAGTACGTGGAGTTCCAATGAACAAATATGTCTGTACATAACTTCTTTGGTCGAACCGGCGGCTCCTCTTGGCGACAATATTTGACGTACTCTGCTATCTTGTATTGCTACCAACGATGAATTTGATAGCTGCGTGCACCCTTTCAATCTTGAATTTATAATTTCTAAACCTATTTTAATAATCAAATTGATGATGTGGCAAGCACATCTCTAGTGAAAAAATCTGTCTTCGCCACGCGGATCCAATCTCTTTTCAAATAAAGAAATTGTGTCGGTGTTAGCAGCTGCATTATCAAGTGTTAGTGCTACAACTCTATCAGTTAATATATATTCTTGCAAAACTTCTATAATTGTAAAATAAATAATGTCATCACTATGTTTAGCATATAATGGTTTAAAACCTATCAATTTTTGTTATAAACCCCAACTATAATCTAGATAATGTATTATGATACTAAAAAAATCTGTTTTTGGATCTAGCAGATCACATTTCTGAAGTAAGTGAAATAGATAGATTCCTAAAATTTTGAAATTCGTTTTTAAGTTTATCACTTATTTCCTTACAAAGTTTTTGTATGTCCCTTCTACTTGTACCTCTACTAACAGGATTATATGCTGGACAAAATGCCTTTTTAACCATTTCAACAAAATAAAGATTTTCAAATAAAGAAATAAGATAGTTCGTAGCAACTATGTATCTTGCTATTGCCTCTCGTGCTTTGAGTGCATTGTATTGACAAGTTGAGAGAGTTGAGGATTGTGGATTAAAATTAAGTTGAGTTTGAATTTGCTTACCAAGTCCGGTTGAAGTTGAACCGAATTGCATATATTGGGGGTGCTTCTTCTCCAAGTGCCACCGCATCGTCGAAGTCTCGTGCTCAGCGCTGATAATGGTTAGACAGAAATTACATACCATGCATGTTTCTTCCCCCTCCCCATTTGGCTTTAACCGTTTTGATTTGGTGAAGTATTGTCATACCCTAGACATGGCCCTGTTTAATGGTCTTGTCGTGCCTGTGGTGTCGCAGCTCACTTATATTTGGCTGCACGCAATCCTGGCCGTTTCTAGTTATGGAATTGCTGCCTCTGGAAAGGTTGAAAATGGATCCATTTCTTCAGCGTAGGGAATGTAAAACTCATTTGTGGATGATCCTCCGAATGTATAATTTTGGGAATCCATTATGAATTTATGATGAAATAATAAATAATTAAAATGAAAGAAATTAAATAATATAAATAATAATATGATTAATAGATGATATTGAAAAATGGAAGAAATAGAATAATATAAATAAATATAAATATAAATTGAATCGAAGAAAAATTGAGAATTAAAGTAGAGAGATTGAGAATTAAGGTAGGGGGTACGAGCTTTTTTTCTTTCACTTTTCCCCTCAAAACTCAACTATAATTAACCCCCCTATCCACCCATTTTCAATATCATATGTCTATGTAAATCCCTTAGCCACTTATCTTGTTTTGTGTCTCTCCACTGTACCATCTGCCTTGTATTTAATAGTAAACACCCATTTACAACCAACAGTAGCCTTTTGGTCAGGTAGATTCACAAGCTCTCAAGTCTTATTTTTCTCCAATGCATTAATCTCTTTCATGACAACCTCTCTCCACTTAGGATCACTCAAAGCTTCCTGAAATGTCTTTGGAATCTCTACGGTAGAAAGACTAGTGGCATATACATGAAACTTGGATGAAAGTTTCTCATAAGACATAAACTTAGAGATAGGATGTTGAGTACATGTCCAAACTCCTTTTCGAATAGCTATAGGGAGATAATAACTGTCATCAAGAATAAAACCCGTCTTATCAGAAGAAGTTTCAAATGAATTCTCTTTACTTGTCAATTGTGAACCAGATTCTTCTCTCGGTTGAGACAATTGGCCATGCTTCTTCATAATATTCATTACCTTGATAACTGGATTTCCAAGAATTAAATTTCAGTCATGTCCATTCAATCGTTCCAAACCTCCCCCTATGTGTAACTTTTCTTGAGACAATTACAATCTATAGAATCCACAGAACCAAACTTATTAGACTTTACAGGAGGCATGGTTGAAGGTGAACTCAATTCTGGGAATCTTGAGTTGATTTAGAATTCTGGCTTTCTAAGTCTTCAGATGAAGCCACAGGTTCCATAGGTAGTTGAGTTGATTTAGAATTTGGGCTTCCTAAATCTACAGATGAGTTTACAAGTTCGATAGGTAGTAAAACTTCCCATAAATGATATTCACTCACGATCTCCACCTGAAGAAAAGTTTTGGTAAAATAAGGACAAGACTCAAAGAAAGTAACATCCCTGGACACAAACACATTTTTAGAGAGTGGACAAAAACATTTATATCCCTATTGAGTATAAGAACACCCAATAAACACACACTTGATAGCCACAGGATCCAATTTATCTTTATTAGGAGATTGAACATGAACAAATGCAGTACAACTAAAAACTCTTAGAGGAAGAGAATTCATTGTCCTAAAACTAGGAAACACCTTAAGAAATGTAGACATCGGTGTACTAAAGTCTAAAACCCAAGTTGGTAACCTATTAATCAAGTTTGTGGCTGTTAGCACGGCATCACACTAGAAATATTTGGAATTTTCATTGTTAACATCAAAGCCCAGGTAACCTCTAAGAGGTGCCTATTCTTCCTCTCAACAACTCTATTCTGTTGAGGGGTATCAACACATGAACTCTAGTGTATAATTCCATGGTGTAACAGATATTTTCCTAGGACAAAAGTAAAGTATTTTCTACCATTATCAGTCATTAAAACCTGAATTTTAGTACAGAATTGAGTATAGATCATAAAATTAAAGTTTTGGAAAATCTGTCTTGCTTCAGATTTGTCTTTCATAAGATAAATCTATAATGGTGATAAACCATTTAGCTCCTATACGGTTTGTCACCTTAGAAGGTCCTTGAATGTCACTATGGATTAAAGAGAAAGGTCTAGAACTTCTATATAGTTTTGTTGGATACATTGAACACGTATGTTTTGCAATTTGACATATATCACGTTGAAATAATAATGGATTTTTATTACTGAACATCAGAGGGAACAATTTGTGTAAATAAAAAAAACTAGGATGACCTAGCCTTGTATGCCACATTATTACTTCTAAATTACCTGAAACAGATCTAGAATTACACCTAGTAGCTAAAACAAACTTCTTCTCGTATCCAGTTGATCAAAGAAGTAAAGTCCTCATTTCTCTCTAGCATTGCCAATCATCTTTCCCGAGAGTAAAGCTTGAAATTCACAATGAGAATAGAAAAAATTAACCACACACTACAAGTCATTAGTTAACTTACTGATAGACAGAAGCTTACAAGCTAAACTAGGAACATAAAGTACAGAATGCAATATGAGATCCTTGGAAATTTGAACCGTCCCTTTACCAACCACACTTGCCAAAGAACCATCAACAGTCTTAACCCGGATATTATTATAACATGGACTATAAGGTATGAAAACCTCAGAATTACCTGACATATGGTTTGATGCACCTGAGTCTATAACCCAAGATTTGTGTGCATCGTGTAAAGCTGTTCGGGAATTACCCGGTTCTGCAATGGAACAAGAATGACTGAAAGAACCAGATCTGGACTGATTAATTAACTCATACAGGTGCTCCAGCTGCTCCTTGCTAAATGGCATAGCCCCTGAATGTGCATCAGATTTCGTAGGTACACCATCTTCTACATCCACATGCACCTGTTTAGCACCCAATTTATTAGGCTTCCAATTTGCAGGTTTACCATGCAGCTTCCAACAGGTTGCTTTGGTATGCCATGGCTTATGGAAAAATTCACACCACACTTTCTCTCCTTTCCACATCATTCGTTGATCTCCACTAGATCTATTAGATGTCTTGCAACCCTTTGAAACAAGGGCTGAAGACTCAGACTCTGATTGCATATTTTGGCTACCTATACCTGCTGATTCTCCCATCATCACTCTTCTTTTGCTCTTTTCTCTTCTCACTTCGGTAAAGACTTCCCGGATGGAGGGTAAAATCTCTTTCCTCAAAACTCTACCCCTCACCTCATCTAACTCCTTATTCAATCCTGCTAAGAACTCAAACCCTATTTCTTTCTCCACCATTTTATTATATTTTACACTATCTTGAGAACAACTCCAGTCAGCCTCAAAAAACAAATCAAACTCTTGCCATAACTTGGCCAATACACCATAATATTGAGTCATAGACATATTACCTTGTTTGGCCTCCTGCAACTGAGATTTAATCTAAAAAATCTAGGTTGAATTTCCAACATCAAAGTACGTCTCCTTTGCCATGTCCCAAATATCTTTTGCTGGAGGTAGAAATAGATACAATCTGACAATCTCCTCCTCCATAGAATTAATCAGCCAAGTCATTACCACACTTTTTTCAGTATCCCATTTTTGGTATGCCGGATCATAAACAGATGGAGCTTGGATTGCTCCCGTCAAGTAGCCTAACTTCCTACGACTTCTAACAATTAACTTCATCAACTGAGACCATGAGATATAATTCCTACCATTCAATTTATGTACACTAATCTGAATGGAAGAAGCAATGGCTAAATTATCAACAGTAGTCTGAACATTGGATGAAGATGTTTCCTCTGATTGGGGAGGTACCTCTTGATGAACCGGTAGAGGACTCTGGCTCTTTCGCTAGTCGTGACAAATTTAACCATTACTATATATAGCCACCTAGGCTCTAGTACCATCAAAGAATAGAACACCCCACTTATTTTTATTAATTCATCTGTATATGTTACATCTCTCTAGTTATAGGAAAAACAGATAAACTACAGATAACCTTAGTTAGGATTATCTTTATTTAAGTTTAAATTTAAATTCTAGATAATCGTAGATTCTTTCTAAGTTCAAACTCCTTATCACTAATTTCCTATAGTATAAATAAAGTAGATAATTTATGAAAACTAGGTGAAGTGACTTAAGGTTTAGAGCTTTAAGGATTTTGGATTTCATATCACATAAGATTTGAAAAAGATAATTAATTTTACTTAATTATTTACATGAATGGGCCAACACATATTGTAATGAAATGGGCCTAGGCCCATGGTTGGAGACGCTTAATATTGTTAAAGAATGCAGTGAAAGACGAGAGCCGAGCAGTTATGGATGAAATGGAGTTTCGACGCCTTCTGGATCTTTTCCCCGTTGTTCGATCTCGCGATTATCAAGTAAATCAATCTATAAAATTTCTATTTATTATTCATATTATTATGATTACGCAATTCTTCTTCTCCATTTCCTTTTCATGCTTTTGCACCCATTTTTTCTTTTTTTAATATCCAATTAGTAGGTTTTAGTTAAGTTTCGTGAGAAAGGGGAGCTATGACACTAAGTTTATTAATGTTTATTTTTGACATATTTTCAACCCTTTGGAGCTTTGATCCTTCAGTTTTTTCCTTTTTTAATGTCCAGTTAGTAGGTTTTAGTTAAGTTTCGTGAGGAAGGGAAGCTATGACACTAAGTTTATTAATGTTTATTTTTAACATATTTTCAACCCCTTTGGAGCTTTGATCCTTCAGTAAATTCGGAAATTTTTGCTTTTGAGATTTTTTTTCTTTGATATCTGCTGCTGCTTGTGTTTGTCCAGATTTTGAAATGCCCTTTTTTTGATTTCAGGCAGAGTTGGATTCTTCAAGACAATCAACTTCACTCTCAGCCCAGGATGAGGTTTTATTTCTGAAACTGCTCCATATTGCCTCTATTTTTTTTTTATTAGTATTTTCTTTTCTGCAGTATACCATCCCTTTGAGTGTATATTCTGCTCTGGCTTAAGTTATTTTGACATTTGGACAGAAGGTAAATGAGTGGGAAGATGCTTGGAATGAAGAAGATAAAAAGCAGATGGACAGTCAAGGTATGTTGGTTCAGGCTATCTATTTCACCAGATGGTTTTCCTGCATTTTAGTTACAGGATCATAATGAGTTTTAGACATTCTTTTCATGTGGATGGCGGTAATTCTGACTTCTTGTCAATGGAGACATTACACTTGATAAACTCTCCGCTCAATAACCTGTTATTGTACCACCAAAATTCACCAACTTCTTTGATTAAGGAGGCTACCCTCACAGTGACTTTTTGGTAGTCTTCACTTTTTCGACATGTTATAGAAGAATATGGTTTACGTTGGTTTTGTGATACAAAATGGAATATTAAAATAAAGCCATCCCAGGCTGGCTGCTCTATGTTTTTTGTTGCTTCATGCTTTTTTTCTTTTCTTTTTTTAAGTTAATTTTTCACTTCAAATCTGATGGAAGTTAACAGAATAGATGGACACGGGATAGATGTAGTTCCATCTTTTAAGATGCTTTAGTGTTATGCTGATAATTGGTGATAATATCAGATTGATTTTGCTCAAATGGATTTGTTTTGCAGATGCATTTTGGCAGAAGCTAAAACTGGCAGCTGGGAGGAAGGTATACCTTGCTTGTTATAACATCTTATTTAGTGTAATTTAATTACATTGTGATTTTTTATGACAATTATGGATGTAAAAAGTTTGTTTGAAAAATGAAGATAAAAGTGGAAAATTATGGAGGTTTTGAAAACAATATATAGGGGATATTAATGGGGTTGATGTGATGATATAAAAGTAGGGATGGGAGGAGGAAGAAGACAAAGTAGGAGCATGAAGAGGTAGATTTCCTTAACTTTAATTTAATAGATATATATCCCATACTGCTTCTCAGGGTCATTAATTCAATTCTTGCTCCTTGGTGCCTTCCCATGGCCATATCTCCACGAAGTGATGATCACTATTTTGCACTAATGACAAGAATTACTTAGTTTGACTTCGCTTCCTATATCTTTGGTAATATCAAATATATATCTTGTTTGACTTGGTTTAGTATTCAGATTTCAGACACACCTCTTCCTCCGCTTTACATGCCTTTTTCTTTAGTTATATACATTATCATCAATGTATATATTTACCCCATAAAGACAATGAAATTTTAAGAATTTAAAATGTAAATCTCTCTCTTTCTTCCACACACATGGAATTCCACAAAACAATTAATTTAGTTCGTCATTACAGTTTGCCATCATAGACTAAGACAATGTTTTCCTACTATTTCCATTCCCTGAATCTGAGACTACGATTGGATGTGTAGTGGAAATGAGTTATTCATTTTTTACAATGTTTATAAGTGCATTTTCTTTTGTGATACAGGCTTCTTATAAGTTTATGGAAATGTGTAGTTAATTTCTTACTTATGGTGAAAAACTGATTGTTGGTGAAATGTTTTATAGGTAAGTGCAGCTGATGCAGAAAAGTTTTGCCAGGCTTTTCAACAATTTCACAAGAAACTTGTATGTGTAACGTACAACAGAATTCTTGCATCATGCAATAGCCTTCCGATATACTACTAGAGCAATAAAATTCCTAATTTATCCAATTGTTTCCAGGTCTATGACGGACTAAATTTGGATGCTTCTAGGAGCTACATCAACTCATCAAAAAGTTTGAAGGATTAGTTTTTTCCTGTACTTTTAGAATGTTTTTTAAACAGGATTGCTGAATATTTTGGTTTTTATATTAAATTGCAATATTAATCCATCATTTTTGCCTTCTGCCTTTTCTGATTTTTAGTTGCTGAAGTATAATTATTACATATCTATGTCCATAGGCAGTACTTCTCTAGATCCCTTGTGCTTCCCTTTTGTTATACTTGCAGCTATTGGGGAGGTATCTTGAATCATATTTTTGAGGTGAAATAACATTATAATCTCGTTTACTTGCCTACCAAGATCTACTTAGGTTCAAAATTAAAATGTTTACCTTGTAAGTGTAGTTGTATTAGCATCTTTATATATGTAGTTAGGTTTCATACAGCCACTTTTTTACCTTCAATTTAATTGAAACTTAAATAAAATAAGCAAATAGAAGAAACCCTTGGTCTTTGTATTTGAAATTCTTTTACTGGCCAGGGGTTAAATGCATACAGATAATGCTCGTACTAGATGACGATGAAGAAAACAAAGAGCCAAGAGCACTCCAAGATCACGTGTCACAGAAAGATAATTAACAACCTGTTCTAGCATGTTGATTTCTGAGCTTGTTCTCTCAAGAATATCAAAACAGCATTCTCAAGTCCAAAACAAGTTTTAAATGTATTATAGAACACTAATATTCAGTCACAAGAATGCCCAAGACTTTGACAATACCAAGGGCAGTCTCGTATTACCTCTGATCGAAGTCCAATATTCTCCATTAGTCATGAAGATTGCCCAGAATATCTTGATCTCTATATAGGTGGTACCTGAACAGTAACCCAAAGGTGACAATTTAGACCAGAGCATTCACGATAGCTAATAATGTTGAGAAATAGATTCAATGTAGCTTAGAAGATCACAATTTTGACATAGCAGCAGCTAATTACAATTAGTCAAACACTAAAACAAAAAAATCACCTTGAAGTTGTATGGTAAGGAGTTCTGCATCTTCTTAAATACCAAGACATCAAATATGATGGCCATGCAAATTATTTAACATTTTAGACTTCCAACTAGAGTGTGCATCTGACCTGCTTAACTAACCCAACAGAATTCCGGGGGTTCAGTTGAGAACATCTAAAATGGGGAAAAAACAACCCAGTTACAAAATCAAAATGTGCTTGATACACCACCTGTCAAATTGTAATAGAACAGCTCAAACGTAATACCAGGTGCATATTAACTTTTGTCATATTCCACTAAAAGTGAAGGTGACTTTACCCTGTGATGGAGTTGTGATGTAAACTATAAGAATGGAGATTTTGAGGTGTTAGACAAATGTATAAAGCACATTGTAGGGAACAAAAGATAAAAAGGTACTGGACAATGTATATACCAAACAATTAAAAGGAAAGTAATAAATCTGTCAAAACCCAAATCAAGATATAAAAATATATCTTAAGAGGAGGCAATAAAACTTACTCTTTATCACCTAGCTTAACTTCAGTGCCTCCATAATCTGGCAAAAGAACAGTATCTCCTTCCTTCACAGTGATGGGAGTAAGTTTCCCATCAAAATCACGAGCTCCTGGACCCACCGCCACAACTTTTCCAGAGTTCAGCTATATGGTGAGAGGAAGTGAATGACAAAAGATGGTTATATTTCTCCTCAATTTTCTTAGCAAAAGAAATGGTGAAAACGAATGTTATATTATGGTGAGAGAAAGTAAAACGAAAAAGAGCCTTCAAAGTAAGTTGTAATCTGAGTTACAATTAAAATTTTCCCACCTCTGAATTTTGTCAAATCTAAGGGTTACAAGAGAGGACTATAATTGGTTTACTTCGGCTAAAAGAAATGTTAAGAGGAGGTAAGTAATGAAATCAAAGAATGAAGAATCTCATATGAAAAATGTTTCTAAAGTATCACGCTATTAGTAGTGGAACTCAAAGGGCTAAGATAATTCTAAAATTGCTCGAAAACTCTGAACGATCCGGATGTGCTATTACATCCTCTCCTCTCCCTTTTCTCTCAAACCAAACAATGTATATGGTCAGGTCTATCCTATATCCTTTTTTCCTCCCTATTTCAATACATTCTGCCAAACCAAATGCTGAATTTAAATAAAACTATGCCACCCACATAACACAGTAAGAATAACGAACCAACAATAGCATAAATTAGATAATGAAAAAAAAAAAAAAAAACCCAAATAAGCGTATTGAAGCCGGTAAAGTCAACGGTAGAAGCAAGACATATTGAAACCCAGATGAAATATTTGAATCAGACCAATACCATTATTCAAAAGTTAAATATAGAAAAAGATATAAAGCATGTCACTAAGAGTAAAAAGTACCTTAGGGGTCTTCTCAGTAAGTAAAATTCCAGAGTTGGTTTTTGAAGGAGGAAGAATTTTTTCAACCAAAATGCGATTGAATGACGGAATCAACCGCCTTGCCATTTCTCTTTCTTCTTCGCTTGCTTTGTGGATTTTGAACAAAAATTTAAAACGAGAGCTGAGCTCAACTCTTACTGACGAGTGACGACTCTGTAGGGTTTAAGATGGACTCTATGACATACTAAAATTACTGCATTGCCCATCCTTGGTTATCAGATAATAACCAGGGGACCCGTCCCGGAATTTTTAAAATAGCTCCCATTAGTAGGCATGGCAATGTTCTCCGGAATTTCGGGGACCTGTCCCATCCCGCCCCATATGGGGTGCGGAAGGTCCGGTTTTTTCGAAGATAGGGGCGGCGGTGGGGGGCATTTTAATCCCTGCCCCGGGGATGGGGCGGGGGTGGGTGATGCCTTTCCCCCACCCCACCCCACCCCGCCCGCCTCGCCTCGTATATAATATATAAAATTAAAAATCATATATATATATAATACCCCTATATTTCACCTAATTACACAATTATCCTATTTATATAAACCAATATTTTCCTAATTTTCCTCACCCTAAACAATTGAACAAGAACAAACCCTAACCCATATATATGTAAAATTAATTATGTTTAAACGATTAATTTAAATGTTTGTCATGTAGATGAGAGTTAACTATGTTTAAGCGATTAATTTAAGTGTTTGTTATATGGACGAGAATTAACTATTGTGTTTGGTAATGTTCAAATTTATTTATGTTTATGTAAAATTAACGGGGCAGAGACGACCCTCCAACATTCCCCTATGGGGCGGGGAAGGGGAATTCTTATCATCCCCGTAATGGGGATGAGGCAGGGATGAGTACGATGAATGAGATCCCTGCCCCGCCCTGCCCTATTGCCATACCTACCCATTAGCATATATGAAGTTGGTAATGGCTATTTTTTTAAAATATAGCGTTTTGGTAATGGCTATTTTGCAAAAAAAATGAGGGATTCGGTAATGACTATTTTTGGAATAAAATTTAGGGTTTTGATAGTGGCTTTTTTTAAAATAAAATTTTAGGGTTTTGATGATAAAATATTTTTGCAATAAAATTTAGGGTTTTGATAGTGGCTTTTTTTAAAATAAAATTTTAGGGTTTCGATGGTACATATTTTTGCAATAAAATTTAGGGTTTTGATAGTGACTATTTTTGTAATAAAATTTAGTGTTTCGATAACGATTATTTTTGTAATTAAATTCCAAGGTTTCAATAATGGCTATTTTTGTAAGAGTTTCAATAAATACGGGTGGTCAAAACTAGGTACCCGAACTAGTTTTACAATTCTGACCCGACCCGAATATTCGGGTACCTCTATGAGGATACCCGGTAACTGAATCGGTTTTTATGGTACCCGGATTTTCAGATACCAAAATTTTCAGTTCGGTTATTAGGTACCCGGTTCCTGAACTGAATTTGCTACTTTCAAATTTCCATTAAAATCAACACTACAATTACGGTAAAACAACTGCGCCTTTCTTCGAACACTTGGTGGGTGTGAAGCGAAACCGAGGAAGGACAGGTCGCCGGTGATGGGAAACAAATCACGTGATTTCCAGCAAAAGATTTACATGTTACTTTCACCAAAGTTCTAGTTGATCAGTTCATGACTTCAAATATAATATAAATTTCATTCAAATTTGTATGTAAATAATAGTGTTACTTCCACATAAATAAATTTTTCTTAGGAGAAATGGCAAACATAACATAGTGAAGACTCAATCAGACATAAATATAAATAAAATACATTTGTTGGGTTTTTGAGCCAAGTAATTATATGGCAAGTGCTCAATCAGACAATGGCTTCCCCAAGTCACAATCATATACCCCACGGCTTTTACTTTGTCACATGAATAATAGTCACTCTTGTTTCTTGACCGCATTAGTCTTCAAAATTTGACGAGGGAGGCGGCATTCGCGTGATCTGGACCTAGGCAGGGACTGGTCCCAACCGGGCCCGAGTCTGGGCCCAATTGGGACCAGTCACCCATGGGCTTGGGACCGATCCCAGGCCCATGAGAAATTTCAAGACTCGGACCGGTCCTATGGGTTTGGAAAATTATTTTTCACCCTTCAAATTTTTTTTTATATTTGGGGGCCAAAAAAACTATGTAGGGGGGTTTATGTAATTTTTTGGGGTCTAGAAAATTTATTTCCACCCCGAGAGATTAGTAAATTTTTAATTAATTCTAAAAAATAATAAATTAATTAATGGTTAATTATAATTAATAATAATTTATAAATATGAGGATTTAAATATAAACTTTAAATAGATAATTTAATTAATTAATTTTAACATAAATGTAATATTCACACAATCATACATTCACACTTCACAAATAAACAATTAAATAAATTTATTTTTATTAAATTATTCATCATGAATAATATTTACATTGTTCGAATCTGTGTTCCTGAAGAGTTCGAGTAGTTCAGGATCTTCAGGGTGCTGCTGCAATCTTCTCTCTGCATGAGTCTAATCCCGTAAACACGTTATCACTTCAATCATCTCATTGGTTAAAGAGAATCTTCTGTCTTCAACTATCCGGCCACTCGTTGAGAATGCTGACTCGGATGCAATTATAGAAACCGGCACAGATAAAATGTCATGTGCCATTTTGGCTACAATGGGGAATTGACTTTGATGTTGTTTCTACCATTGAAGCACACCCATCTCACGTTTCTCTTTTTTCGTCATGTAGGACATGTCCATTTATAGGTAGCAATTCAGCTCATTTGGTCCATGTATGTACGTATTGGAGTTGCTACTTCCGCCGCCATGTTCCATATACATCTACATGCTCAATTCTTGATAGTTGTCTTCATTAGGGTCCTGTTGGTCGTCTCTGTTGGATGTTCCAGTTCCATTGTACTTGCTCTGATATAAAGAAAAAAGGTTTTCCAATTTTTGCTTAAAGTTAATCAAATAATACGTATAATCATGTCATAAATGTTGGCCTATCTCAGTAACTATACAATTAACTACGTGTAATTTAAATCTAGGATCTACAACAAGGTCTAATCCATATAAGAATGGAATATCTAACCAATATTTCTCATATTTTTTTTCCATCTCTCAAACAATTTCCATTAAGACGTTAGTATATCTATATTTAGCAAAGGTTTTAGAAATTTGAAGTAAAATATCTAACGCTAAATTAGTAGTAGGATAATAAATACCACTTAATGTATTAGTGGATTCATAAAAAACTTTAAGAAATGAATAAAAAAGTTCGCAAACCGTCCAATCATCATAGCTGACAACTTCCTATAGATTTTTTGGTTGACGAAATCTGTAATTTGTGTTGCGTTTGGCAAAGCTTTTTCCAACATCAAGTAGGAGGAGTTCTAACGGATAGACGTGTCTGTACATAGCTTCAAAGGTCGAACCGGTGGATCCTCTTGCTTACAATATTTGACGTACTCCTGCCATTTTTTGTTGCTATCGCCGATGATGAATCCGACAGCCGCGCACACCCTTTTAATCTTCGAATTTATAATTTCTAAATCTGCTTTAATAATCAAATTGATGATGTGGCAATCACATCTCTAGTGAAAAAATTTGCCTTCACCAAGTGGATCCAATCTCTTTTCAAATAAAGAGATAGTCGCGGTGTTAGCAGCTGCATTATCTAGCGTTAGCACTACAACTTTATCAGTTAATACATATTCTGGAAAAACTTCAAGTATTGTAAAATAAATAGTGTCAACTTTATGTGCAGTATATAATGGTCTAAAACCTATCAATTTTTGTTGTAAACCCCAACCATGATCTAAGTAATGTATTGTGATGGTTACAAAATCTGTTTTTGATCTACAAGCCCATATATCTAAAGTAAGTGCAATAGATATATTCCTAAACTTTTGAAATTCATTTTTAAGTTGAATATTTATTTGGTTATAAAGTTTTAGTATGTCTCTTCTACTTGTACTTCTACTAACATGGGTATATACTGGACAAAATGCAGTTTTAATCAAGTGAATAAAAAAAAGGATTTTCAGATAAAGAAAGGGGAGAGTCCGTAGCAACTATATATTTTGCTATTTCCTCTCATGCTCGGAGTGCATTGTATTGCCATGTTGACAAAGTTGAGGATTGTGGACTAAAATTAAGTTGAGTTTGAATTTGCCTACCTGGTCCGGTTGAAGATGAACCGGATAGTTGCATTATTTGGGGATTGTTTCTTCTCCAAATGTCATCGCATCATCAAAGTCCCCTTCTCAGCGCTGATAACGGTTCCACAGAAATTACATACTCTACACGATTCTTCCCCCTCCCCATTTGCCTTTGCCCATTTTGATTTGGTGAAGTGTCGTCACACATCGGACACAACCCTCTTTGACGGTCGGGGGGGTTGGGTCGTGGAGTCGCAGCTTGCTTGTGTTTGGCTGCAACCCATCCCGGCTGAATGTGGTTGTTGTTGTTGAATTGTAGTTGCTGCTTCTAGAAAGGGTGAAAATGGATCGAACCCTTCCATTTCTTTTGTTGATGGAACATAGAACTCATTTGGCCCTTCCATTATGAATTTATGATAAAATCATAAATAATTAAAATGAAAATAATAATAATAATATGAATAAGAGATGATATTGAAAAATAGGAAAAATTGAATAATATAAAATATTAATAAATTATATTAATAAATTATAAATATAAATATAAATATAAATTGAATTGAAGAAAATATGAATAAAAATTGGATTGGAGTAAAGAGATTTAGAGAATGAGAGATTGAGAGTTGGTGTAAAAAAAATTGGAACTGTGAGGGATTATTTATTGGGGGGGGGGGGGGGGGGGGGGGGGGGGGGGGGACGCCGAGAAGAAAAAAAATATCAATTTAACCCTTAATATTTTTGTCAATTATAAAATTATCAGGTGGTTTTTGGATATTTTACAAGGACTGTATTAAAATTTTGTAAATAGGTTTGGGCCAGGCTTGGGACCGGGCCTTGGAGGAGGGCCCAATCAAGGGACCGGTCCCTCCTCCCATAGGCTTAGTCCGGTTTGTCCGGTCCCTCTTCCCATAGGCCTAGTCTGGTTTAGGACCAGGCCCAGTCCTTTGGGTTGGGTTTTTTTTACCAGTCCCA